AGAATCATGTCCGTGATAAGATATTAAAAGCGCACTAAAATCGAGAAAAGTTTATTTCAAAAGTTGCCGGTTTTTTTGCAATAACAACACTTTGCAATTAAAAAATGAAAAATTTTTTGATAATGGTACCAATGGGGAGTCAGAACCTACCAGATGCAAAAGGTTTCGTTCCGATCGGTGCATCCAGCTAGGCGTAATAGGCGGGCACACATAGAAAATAAAAATAATAATAATTAAAAAAAAAAAAAAAAAAAAAAAAATATACTGATCGAATTGAGTAACCTCCTCCTTTTTCGAAGTCGGTTAAAAAATGCTCCGCAACGAGTGACACAATGATTCTGCGTATCACGTGTTTACTTGCATAACGTTGTTTTGTACGTTCGTCGATAAACTATTCGTATTGTCGTTAGATAATACCGAGTCACGATTAAACGTCTGGAAGATGCTTGTACGATCAATATATTGCGTGTAAACTGTACTACGAAATCAAATCGTTTGCGAGCCGTATTTGCGACACATATATGTTTACTCCGTATAATTCGAAAGCGACATTATTCAGTATACCCAGGAATTAGCGTTTTTACGTATATACGTAGTTACAAATGTGACCTTTATGATCGCGATGACACATTCGTTATTTGTTATTTATTTTTTCAGCCCGTTTCGAATCGTAATTAAATTGGAAAATAGTTTCCGTAACTTTTGCGTCGTTCTTATTCAAGATGGCGCCTTGAGATTGATAGATTTATGTGTGATAGATGACATCTTTTATTTCGTTTGATAATTAGGTTAATTCGATAGATTAACTTGATAGTATTTTCGTATTTCGAGAATGCGTGCGTGTACGCCCACAAAGCCAAGCCTTTTCCTTATCGATTTGGAGTCGGATATTTTTGAATTATTGTCGTTGGATTGTTACGATTACTATCTGGGTGTGATGCAACTTCTATTATTAATTCTATCAAATATTTTATAATGTCGATCCATATTGTTTAGGAGCATATATTTTATGTTATGGGTGCATTAACAGCATGAGTTCGCGGATAACGAAAGTTTGAACATTAATATATTTTCATTCACAAACTAGTTCAAGTTCCGATAACATCGAGACACGAGGTGGTTACAAGTTAATTCCCATAATTCTGTTTGTTCATTATCGAACACTATCCCAGGTGTTGATCAATGAGGTTTTCCTTGTCCTTCGTGTTGATCATCCCACCGTGAACTTCGACTCCGTGTATTACTGTTTCCTTGGATTGTTAATTACTTCTTACTGGCAATTAAATCGTCGTATAACTGGATCCCATTGTGTTACTCAATTTGATTTACGGGCACGTGGATCTTCGCTTAATTAATTTGATTTATATCTTATTCCTGTAGCTGACTATGATCCTTCATTAGTTTTATACACTCGTTAGTGTACAATTTGTTGTATAATATTTATGTGCATACTTTACTGTGGATTTTTTTACGTGTGCAATTTTCGAGCTTTAAGTTCTTAAATTTTATATTGTGAAAAATTTGAAATTTTTTATTTGGCGATTTTGGAATTTGGGGTTTTTAAATTTGTATATTTAGAGATTTGGAAAGTGCTTTAAATTTATAATTCTGAAAATTATATTTGAAAATAGATAAACTAGTCAGTAGACATTCTGAATGGGCCCACCGCAGTCCCCAACTAGTTCCATCAACCTTGAATTCTAAGGGTTACCATAGCAACGTAGTCGAGGGTCGTCGATGATCCGGAATCTTGCGTAATAACTCCTAATTAAAGCTGAGCTCTACAAGACACCATTGTAATAGTTCCGCGGATGAATAATTTCCTCGGAAAGAACGATCGTGAAAGTTTATCGTGCTGTCTTCCATCATTGAACGATCTCGATTTAAAATACTCCCAATGCATCCAGCATCGTCGTCAAGCTTCTCTGAACCACTTTATCCTCTTTCCCTTTGTGTTCTTCCGTTTCTTCGTTCATCGACAAACGTGTCTAGCCCCTGGGGTCAGACCCGTGGCACTCAGACGTCATTCATAATTCGAGGATTCGGTGCAATCGAACGTCCTGGAGGAGCTGCTAACAGTTCCTAGGGAAATATTCTTTTTCCAATCAGAATTATATCAGCGGAACCTGTAGCAGAACTTGAACCAGAATCGGAACTTGTTACTGTAGGGTCACTGTGGACTTCCAAGGGTCTTAACTTAGGATAATCGTAGGAATTAGCTTTCTGCATAACAAACATCGTTTCTAACCTAACTCGTTGGTGTTCTAATGTTCATTGGTGCTGTTCGATTCGTATTGGAAGTTAGTCCTTTGGGTCTTAGCTGGCAGCTAACGGCTGTTAGGACATTAAATAGAGCTTACCATACGGAAGCCTTTGTTATTTTATAGGGCTTTTGCTTAGTTACTGGCTTTCTATGTGCCAGGTAAATTCTCGTTCGGATTGCTCGAATCTAGCTTTTCAGGAGCTATTGGAACTTTGCCATTGTACAATCCTTTGGGTACCCATTGTCAACGGTGCTCTAGGTAATATTGACCATCGCGATCCTACTCTATTATGGAATCCTTTGGATATTATTACTCACCGAATTTATAGTTCTTCTAATCCACAAACTTTCCAAATCCTCGGTACATTGCTAAGCTCCTAAAACTCAAGATCCCTAAATCCGACCCTTGAATTTTTACACCCTGTCCAGCTCCGAAAATACTGAATGTCCTATCTCGGAAGCTCGGAATAAATCGAGCTTATTTTGTTATATTCAGTGAACCCAGAAATTCTGATGACCGGGTTCCCCGAAGGCAGGGGGCGGTGTGGGTACGTGGTTTGGGCTAGGTCAAGCCGGGTTAGATCGACTTCAGGTAGAGGGTGCACGCGTGCAGGACGAGGGGG